TTAACTAAAAAAACCTAAAAAACCGTTAGAAGGACGTCGGTTTCGGGGGTACTATAGTAAAATATTAATTAAGTAAGGAAAGGGTTCGTTTGGGTTAACTTAAAATTTGAGAACTACCAATCTAAGCAATGTAAAACTCTTCTGAGGGTACTTAAAGACATTTATAAAAACTTTTTATATACAGTTAATAAAGTTTATTACTGTAAAAAAAAAACTCATAAATAAAGTATTAAAAAACACAACCACTTTTGGTCATGGGCCTACATCAGGTGCCAAATTAATCAAATGCATCTTTCATTTTTGAAAAGAAAATCACTTTTTTCAAAACACATTCAAGATTACAACAGGTCGACCAAGAAAACCTCCCTGGGAATTAGTATTTTTATTTTAGCTGCAGCATAGCGGCTCATAGAATGACTCCGAGTTTCTTTTTGGTTTTTTTTCAAGTACAAACTTTTAGCTCGTGTCTCCATCACCTCGTGACTGATTTGAGATCTAATTCCAGTTTTGGCCTCAGGATATTAAACTCTTATGACTGATGTACTTGATCAAGCCCAAGATCTCGTAAATTAATTTACTCTAATCCTGCCTAAAAGAATTTCAATTTGAGGGTAAGCTGGTAGAGATCCTGACGAGTAATAAAATCGAATGAGGTATACAAGCGCCCCAAACTTGGTATTGCTGCTGTATAAAAATAGAACTAAAACAAAGGAAAAAAAAAAAGGTCTCAGATTAATTTACTCTAATCCTACCTATGGCTATTGAGGATTCCCTCTTGTTTTTATATGTTTTAAAAATGGTTAAAATAAGTACACCATCTAGCAATCTCCAATATGTCTTTATTTATTTTTATGAACAGCAGTGCTGTGTATTTTTGAAATATATTCATAAATTTATTTTGAAGAGAAAATTTCTCTCCAACAATGAAAGCCATATTCAATTAATTGACATCTGATGTAAATCTACACTCAAAACGAGTCATTTTTTTTAATCTTCTATTTCCAAGCTTCTTTACGGTAAGGTTGCTGAATTTGTAAACAAAAAACTTCTCTGAAAATGTCATGTGGCAGTGTTTATTTTCCTCAACAAAAATTCAGTAGTTTAAGTAAAGTACTCTTTGTGTGATTAGTGATATTTCAACTTGTTACACATTTTTTACTACAATAAGCATAAGATACATATTCAAATACAACAGTTTCGGGTTAAAAACAAAAACAACTCAATTTTAAATTATTGTACCTGAAGATGTCTATCATATTAAATAAAGATCTAGTTCATAACTACTATAACCATGTTACATATTTAGTTACCCGACAAAATAACAACAAAAAACTTACAGCCTCATCTGTGAATCTATCACCCATGGTGGTAAGCAACTCTCTGAGTCTTTCTTCATGAAGATAGCCACTATTGTCCTCATCAAAGCAGGCAAATGCATTCTTTATGACATCTTCAGGGTCTGTACCTTGAAGTCGCTCACCAAACAGAGTTAAGAACATGGTGAAATTGATCGGACCCGGAGCTTCGTTCATCATATCTTCCAGGTATTTGTCTTCTGGGTTCTTCCCTACATGTATTAAAGTGAGGGTACCCAACTGATGAAATAATGCATTCTAATCTTTACGAGTAGGAAGGTGAGAAAAGTATATTTAATTTGTTATTTTCACAACTGTATTTCTGTATGGGTTGGTTCGATTTGATGGACTTTGTAACCTCAATAAAGATTTTTACAAAAATTATGATTTTTTTTGTTCTAGAATGACTCCAAATTATAACACAAATGTATAGTCTAAATAGCTTAAAATATCATAACATTATACATTTATATATATTTATAATGTTTTATATTGACTTTCCAGCCATGCCTCGATAACAATACAGAAGATACAATGACGCGGCACCCATGTTACCGTATCCAGTGATATGAAACTGACCTTTAGTCTTTACAAAGTGACCTGTCTAGGCTGTGCTTAGTGGACTAGTATTTTGTAAAATACAGTCACATTTCAATTATTATACATTATATGTATATTAATTATTACTATTTACAAATACGATCTTAAACTTATTTTCCTTAAAACATAGAACAGTAAATAATGAAGTAAAGCAAACTAGTTACGATCTTTGTACTCGTTTGCCGCTTGTTGTAGGTTGCTAAGCCTTATTAAATTGCCCACGTGGAAGATGTGAAACAAATATTTTTTTAGGTTTTATAGATACATTTTACATAGCCAAAAAATCATAAATTACTATGTCAATACCATAGAATTTCAGTATAATTTATCAAGCTTAGTAACTAAACTGTATTTGAGTCTAAAAAAAATTTTAAATTCCAAGTTCTCTAAAGACTTACCTCATTGTTTGAAATGTTGTGTGAAAAGAACAAAGTTAACACAATAACACATCAAAATGGCTGAGAAAACCACTACAGGAACAATCTGAGCTTTCGACTGGTTATTCATATCATACATAGAAGGAAGTGTATATAAGGGACCACTCTGTTTGATTCAGTACATGAGCAATATCTTAGCAAATAGAAAAGATAAGATGTTCTTATTCTATATTCTAGCTTGGCAATATCGGTAGTTTGAGTTCCTATTTTGAACAACACTGTAGATTTTGTATTTTGCCATCACAAACATCTAATCTGAACCAGTAGTGCATTCAACATACCACGTGACACACAAAAATCAATGTTTAGCTGTGTTTTTTTAATATTTACTTTTAAATTAAGAATTTAACTAACATATAGTATTAAAAATTTGAATTATAATCTAAAATTTGATACCAAATTTATTGACATAAATTCATAAAATAGTAGTTGAATAAAATTTTGAATGCAAGTCAACAAACACGATGACATGGCCTTTGACACGTGACCTGTTGAGATAGGATTAATAGAATTTTATGCTCTATTAATGTACAGTGTTATGGTTGGTCATCCTAATAACTACCAAGAAGCTCATATGAACACATACCCTAATAAAGTAATGTAAACTGTTATTTTAGATCATATGACATTACTCTTTGGGCAAAAAACATGTTATTTCATATAATTAATAAGCAATTAAAAAACTGAATTTCTTTTACTTTGTGCTAACAACTTTTAGTTTTTACAGTATGACTTCTGAGCTAATGGTATGGTTAAAAGTGATGTACAAATAAATATAGCTATGTAGTTCTATACTTGCTACATTGAGTGGGTGATCAAAAGATCAAGCCCTTCCTACATCAAGATGACACAAAAGATCCAATGTTGAACTCTAACTTAATTGGCACAAGCGGATAAAAATGATGACATTCTCCTTGGACAGGATGCTAGTCCATCGCAGGTTAACCCCCAGCTAACAGCAGGCAGCTGGGTAGACTGAAACAATAGGGGCAAAGTGCCTTGCTCATGAACACAACAGCATGGAGTGAGCCAACCTCCAAGTCATAACCATCCAACTTCAAATTCAAAGTGCAAAGCCAACTGTTCTACACTTCCTCCACACTAAGTGGGAAAGTGACCAAACATTTCTTGGTTGACAATTGTGTATTGATCCTAATTAAAAATTAAACCATTTATTGAACAATGCACATATTACATTTTAAACAAGCACAGGTACTTTAAAACAAAGTAAGTTCTTACCCAATGAAGCTAGCATATCGTGAAGATCTTCTTTATCAATAAAACCATCTCTGTTTTGGTCTATCATGTTGAATGCTTCCTTGAATTCTTGAATTTGAGCTTGGTCGAACATCGCAAATACATTGGAAGTGGCTCGTTGAGCACGTTTCTTTGGTCCAGTCCTTGATCTGGTCTTACGGCTAGACATTTTGACTACACCCAACAAGAATAAATTAAAATAAATTTCTGTATGCATCTGAAGTTCTTAAAAATACATCATAACTACTGATAACTAGTAAATACACATTAAATGGTTAAATATTATGAGTGTAGTTATTCTGAAGATGGTATTATATTAACTTTACAAAAGCATATGATTTATTATACTGCATTGATTAAACATTATTATATTGGGGGCATAAAATGTATAAATACAATTTGATAAGCACAATAGATAGGTTTTATTACATTATTTATTAACTCTTTTCATCATAAGCAACAAACAAATTAACTATTTAACTTCTGTAAAGTATTATTTTTTACAAGTTGAAGCATTTTTAGGATGATTATAGTAGTAATTCCAAAACTTGTAGAAGTATATATGAACATCTTAAGGTTAGTAGCCTTAAAATCACTATTGTTTTATTATACCTATGTGACAAATGCACTTATTATATCTGTGTAACATTTTTTACCCGTATTCATTCACCAAATATTTACTATTAAAAAGACTGTCACATGAATAAGCCAGTATATGTCATGAATATAAATGAAAGTAACTTGTAAAATTAGTAATAAATATTTTGCACACACTCAGAAAATTACTTTAGGTGGTTAATATCTTAAAAACTATAACACTACCAATGTTGAGTAATAAAGAAAAAAAAATCTCCAAACTTCTGGATAGATGACCAATCGCATGAAAGTCTTGTAAGAGACATACAGCATTTAGCCACATGAGAAAAAAATAGTCTATGATATTATTATACTATAGATTAGAGGTCTGCACAGGCATGGGCCTGAAACAATACTTATTTGGCAGTTTCATAATTTTTATTTTTGGTATCAAAGGTTAATATCTTCCTTCCCTGAAAATGTATTTCCAATAAATACTCACCTCTACACACAATCAGCTATCTTCCCAGAGCATATGCCAGAGATTTGCATGCTACTAGCCTTGAGGCAATTCCCACCTAATTTCATGCAATCTAACATGAATTGAACTACTGTAAGATGATATAATTATGTGGTAAAGCCCTCCACCAATAAGAAGGTGACATCTCCATTTCTATATTTGCACTCGAGAAATTCATTCTTTAATGAGACAAGGAATGCAAAGTGCACCAGAAGTGGGGAAGGTAGGTGGGAATGTGCGTGTATAGAGGTATCTATTGGGTGAAAAAAATGTTAACTTCTGAGAGGATACTACACCTCTTCACACAGAATTCTACATTGAAGTAATGAAGAGGCCAGTACAGTTTTACTTAGTTGAGCTCTCTTCAGAAAGTGCCCAAAGGAAGCCCATAGAGTGTGACACCTGATAGCATGAGCTCCATAGGGTCATGCCTGTGGAAGACCACATCTCATCTCGTCCAGGGTATGCTCTTTGCTCGAGAAGAAAGGAGGAAGAGGCAAATGAGCCTCATGTGTTGCAGGGATGGGTGATATATGAACATGGTCATCCAAGTAATTGTACGCATAAGGTCAAAAAGCCAATATTGTGTATCATGGTTTGGGTGTGTTCAGACCCTACTTTATGTGCTCACCTCAACTGTCAGACTATTGGACCTACACAAGCTGTGGGAGATAGGCACAGTTCTCATGTCATATAGACAGGTATAGTGTGTATGCTCACCTCAACTGAACAGACATGACCACAGGAGGAGGGCACAGCATCATTGTGTGTGCACACCTCAACTCTATTGAACAAACAGTGGCTGCAAAATGAGGGCATAGTATTATATAGTGTGGTTGCTTCAACTCAACTGAACAGACTCTCCACGGGAAAAGGACACAAGTGGCATGTGTTATAAGTATAGCTATATGAGGGGTGACCTACATATGCTATACTAACAGTGTCACAACTTTCCACCATATTAGTACTCAATTGTATATCATCCAGTTAGTGAAGATTCTCCATGGTCCACTAAGCCCTGGCTGAGAAATCGATAGACAGTCAAAGGATGAGGAATAGTGGACCATATGGGAGGAAGCTCAGAGTTGTAAAAGGTGGCAAGTGTATCCCAAAAAGGATGTGACCAACCAAAAGCAAAACCAATGAGAGACATAGGGTGTATAGACCACTCTGTCAGTAGAATGTCGACTAGCTCAGAAAGTCCGACATCAATATACAAGCCCTCAGCAATTGATAGGAAAGATGATTAACCTGATTTAAATGGGCCCAAAAGAAAAGGGATCTGAAAAAGGACCCTCATATATGGTTGGTGCAAAGAACAACCATGAAAGAGACTGAGTGGAACAAGACCAAGTGATCCACCAGTAGAGGCAGGAATAAGATTGTGCCCAAAGAACAGAGAGAAGGCAAAGCCCATTGGTATGAAGGAAATGAATGACCAACATTGAAACATCAGAATTCCTACCCTCAACAGAGAAGGAATTGTCGAAGAAAAGAAATATCCTGTATAAGAGGCAGTAAGTAGTCTGAGCATGATCCAATCACCAAGACAATACCCCAAAGAGATACTCACAAAGGGGAAAATGAACCCCAAAAAAGAAAACCATGGGTCTGTAAGGTCCATAGTTGAAGATACATTAGTGCTTTCCCTCCAAAAATGAAGGGTTATATGTAAGCTAGAGTCCCCAAAAGCAAACTAACCTCCCATGTTGGAAAAGAATGAGAAGTGTAAATCCTAGTGGCCAGATATGTCATAGATCAGGCAAAAAAGACAGAATGGACTGGGTTTAGAAAAGAGAAGAAAGTACCAAATATTAAATGTGTGTATAAGAAAGATCGCAGAACCCAGAAGTCCCTCCTACTCAATAGCCATAGGAGATGAAGAGAGCCAGGAGAAGAGGAAACATTCCAGAATGGACTAACAGAAGGAAACAGGCTGGGAAAAAGGAATGCCAACCCTGGACCATGAATATGGCAAGTAAAGGCCCACATGATACTAAACAATATAAGAGGAGCCAACAATGAATCAGATGGAAGAGCAAAGAACAGGAAAACATGAAAAAGGAGGAGGAAGTACAGAAAACAATGGGAAGGTAGGCAGACAAAGATGTATAGGAAGATGTCTGACACATCGACCATGGCCAACCACAGACTAAGTGAGAAAAACCATAGATGGGGGTCAAAGGGAGGTGAAAAGGAACTGGGAAGAGATAAGGAGCAAGGAAAGAGACCAAGGTGAAGAAATGGAAGACAACCGTTGGCTGAAAGTGAGACCAACAGCAGACGAAGAGATAGGTGCCCAAAGAATCATACATATTTGATAGTTACTGATAAAAAGAGTGATGAACTAGATAATGGCTGCAATGAGCATTCAAAGGCCACAACAGAAATAAAGCCTAAGTATGAACAATTTCCAACAATCAAGTCTAAGTATAAATCATCATCATTTGAGAATTAATAATACAATAGCTAAAGAAAATGAAAATCAAAGTTTTATTAACTATGCAAATCTCAATAAATTGAACATAGACGAGAAAGTTAAAACCATTTGGACAATACATGCTAAGAAGAAGAATGAATTTCTCGAGTGCAATTTCAGAGGTGGAGTTATTGCAGATGGAGATGTGTTCCCTTCTATTGATGGAGGGCTTTGTCACATAATTATGTTATTATGCAGTAGTGCAATTCACAATAAATCACATGAAATTAGGCAGAAGTTTCCTCAAGGCTAGTGGCATGCAAGTCTCTTTGGCAGATGCATGGGGAAGATAGCTGACTGTTTGCAAAAGTGTGGTATCATCTTGAAAGCATAGCATTACAAATATTGTCTCATGCTTCTTTTTTTTTTATGCCATTAGTTAAAATAGCCATGTGAGATAGAAAATTCTCTTTTTAGTTTATGATTTTGTTTACCATTCATTTATTATTCCTTCTATCATTTAATTTACCTGTTAGTTTTTAGTTACATTAAATCACTAACTCAACTTCTAACTGATCACATTGATTTTGAGTATATATGTATTATGAAACTGATAACAGCTTTCTCTAGCAGAGATATACAAATATTATTAATGTTGTGAAAGATTATGTGAATTTATGGTAATAGCTAGTCACATGAGATGTAATCTCGTGGACTAATGACTAAATAAAAGCCCTGCCATGAGCTTCAATGAGTAAGGCCATGAGATAATAGTTACAATTCATTATTACTGATTATTATTTGACATTGTTATTGATCTTGTAGTTGTTTAAGTACAGAATATCATGTTCTTTTTTTTAATTAGTTTTTTTTTTGTTTGTTCCTTTTTCCACAATTCCTATATTTATTGAAATAATTAAGATTTATATTTATGCTGTATAGTTCATTAATGTCAGTATCAAGTCCTAGCCAGGCACATATTTAACTGTATTTAACTTTTTTTTATTTGACCCTGGTTGTGGAGGTTGTTTTAGTCCATTATAGTCACATTAAATAGCATGTACAGTCCTGATATTTTATTTTCAATATTTTAATTTTTCTTCTTACCAAATTACTGAAGAGGTTAGTATCTATGTGATTCCGATCAATTCCAATATTTCACAAAACATTTTCAGGGTCAGGAAGTAATATTAATCGAAAGCCAAAGGAGGCACTTAAATACTTTATACAGTTATGTTCATATTTAAGAATGGGTAACTTTAAGAAAAAAGGGTTCAAAGAATGGCTATTATTGTGGATGGCCAGGTTATCTGACAGGAATAGGTTAGGATCTCAACTTTTCTTTGAAAGGGACTCATACACAATTTCCTGGAATATAAGAGTTTTAAATTTTCACTTTCTCCACCCTGTACACCTCACTCACAAGAAAAAAGTAAAAATGATGAAATTGACATTTTCTACTCAAGAGCTTAATAAATAATATTCTTGTAAGCTATATTTCAATGCTATAATTTAGTTGTTTGCTAGAGGGAGCTGCAAATGATGCTGACACTAAATCTAGAAAGGTCATAAAAGTAGTCCTAAAATCTAGAAACTTTCCATACTTGGTAGAAGTGAGAGTTCAGTATAAATACAAAAATGAAAGATCAAGTAACTGATGACAGAGGAAAGATTGACTGAGTCATGAGAGTTATGTTTTTGTAAGCTAATCAGCAATTTAGTCAGGTTTTCTTGTCAATTAAAATATTTCTGCTAAATTTTACTAGTGTATTAGGTCTCTACAGCAGTTTCATAGTTTATGTTAAAAAGTTTATTTGTGAAGTTAGTCCTGTCAGTGAATGTAGATGCAGTAAACCTTTACTGGAGAAATAAATGAATTAGTTACAATTTTGTGGTCTGGATTTCACATTTGTACCAAATAATCCGAAAGAACCTGCCCAATGATAGAATACATTATAACGGTATTTAATACCAATGCACAGAATTTGCCGATATCATAACATTTTTAACATAACCATTGTTGCATTTCTTATTTCATGGGGTGTCACTAACTCTTCTACTCCCTGCTAGAGTATTTTTACATGTGAGAATAGAATTCATTTGAAACCTTTCATGTGTGTTCATATTTGATAAACATGTTTGGTTTTTAACAAATGTGTGAATATATTAGCCACAATTAATACATCAATCATTCATACAAACAGACAACCATCAATATAACTTACAGAACAAAATAATACATCAGTGTACCTAAACAGGACATACAGCATCATACTGCCCCAACACCAGCATGTAACAAGTACTGTTACCAGATACTAGTATCCATAACTCCCATGAACATTATTAGTGGTAGTTTACATAATAGGAGTTGAGTGTTTTTATATGACAATATATATATACAACTTTATACTAATAAAGAAATTGTGAAGTTAGTTCATAACCATCAGGCACAGACAAAGGGAACAAAATGAAATTAGTGTAAGTGCCTACCATTAAGTTATACATTCTAACAAAGAGTGTAGAAAACTGTTAAATAGTAAATTGATTTATTAGACCATGAGCTATGCAGATTATTTATGGTCACATTATTAGATTAGTTCAACAGGTGAAAACTGAAGCACTTTTAATGATTTGCAATTCTTCTGTATACAAATTTGTATGTCTTCCATTATGTAATAAATATTCAAGTGTTCAATTTATTAATCCTAATAAGTTATATACACAATTATCTAACATCCCAAATAATGCTTATCATACATTCTTGCATAGTCAGAAAAAATGTATCACCTACTTATTGTTGGTCTCAGAGGATTTGTTAGATGCAAGATAAAGGGTTCAGAGGAGGGTTGGGATAGAACTTTAGAAATAAGGGTTTTCTTACACAGATAAGTTAAGATCTCAAATTATTTCTCTTTTGAAGTTTACAAAATTAACTGTACTATTGTCCAATCTACAAAAACATGCATTCTGTAGCTTAAGTTTAAAAGTTGTTGCAAGTTTATTTTGATAGTTAGAAACAGGAAACATTAAGTGATAATTAATAACCATTGAGAAAATATATATATATCATTGTGACAAACTTTTGGGTGTTTTTCAGATTATATATTTAAAACTAAAAGTATAACTTCAAAAAAAAAGATTTCCATAAAATATAGCACAAAACAGCCATTGGTTCCGTGTAATGTTTTTGTATTGCATAACCCAATTATTATTAACATATTTTCTTTCCGCCCGAAAAAAAACAAACTAATGTTACAACGGAAGAACCTACCGACCACTTTTGGGCTTCACACCCAATTACTAATACCATACATTGGGCTGACCCAATATCCAGTACAACACTTATACTTCTTATACTTAAGTTAAATTAGTTGCACTTTATTCATAATACTATCAGCTATTACTAATATTAGAAGTTTAAGTAATATTACTAGTTGTACTAGTACTAGTAGTATTAATAACAGTATTACTAAATTAGGCCTGCTACTCACATTGTAGAGCACAGCTACAAACGTCTGATTATATTTTCGAATAGGGTACTAATACCAATAAGGGTTAGCATTTTACAATTTGAGTAATTATTTAACATTAATATTGGCCTACCTCAAGTAAGTTCAACTTCCGGTAAATGTTTTGAAAACTTTTCACGTAGACGTTTAGAGAAGTTAATTTTTTGTGAATATTTTTAACTTGTTTTCACGCTACTCCTTTCCAGAGTTTATCTAGCTACAGTAACGTTAAACAACTTCGTTTTAATGGTAACACTGTGAATACTATATGACCACTTCGCCTAGAAAAGCTTTTGGGTCATTGCGTCAACGACCGCTAATAACCATTCTATATATGGACATATATTTTCATTTGGTCCATAATTATGACTCATAATATATTCCCGTTAGGTGTCGCTTACAAAATAGGTGTGGCTTGACTTCCTAAAGGATTTTTCCTGAAAATGAAGAAAAAATACTTGTCAATCAATTTTTTTTAGGGTCTAACACAATATATTTGTAAAAAAGTCTAACACCACGATAAACTGATAAATTAATAACATTAAGATTCATTTGCATCCTATAGAAATTTTAAGTTAGATAAAATGAAAAGAACCAAGAGATCTGACTAGTTCATTTTATTATTGCATAGCTTAGTGATTAGGGCGCTCAACTCTCAAACTGCGGGTCGATGATTCAATCCCAATACCAAACATGTTCGCCTCTTCAGCCGTGTGGGTGTTATAATGTTATAATCAATCCCATTATTTGAATAGAGTAGCGCAAAATTTGATGGACAGTGATGTTGACGAGCTACATTTCATCTAACCTATCACTTCAAGATTAGGGACAGCTAACGCAAATAGTCCTCGAGTAGCTTTGCGTGAAATTCAATAAAAAACACAGCAAGCAGGCATCTTTTATTAAAAATATATTGTTACGTCTCCGTTCGCTAGTTAATTTTCCGTAACTTCGTTCCGACGAAACTTTAGCGACACAAGTCCTTACTTAATAAAACTGGTTTATTCTTTCCGAATACAACTTTACAATACACTTAATTTCAACAGTCGCTCTATAACAACACTATAATCCACGTCTCACGTGGCCAACAATATTGTTATGTCTCCGTTTATTAATTAATTTTCCGTAACTTCGTTCCGACGAAACTTTAGCGGCACAAGTTCTTACTTAATAAAACTGGTTTATTCTTTCCGAATACAACTTTACAATACACTTAATTTCAACAGTCGCTCTATAACAACACTATAATCCACGTCTCACGTGGCCAACAATATTTTGTCCGCAAACATTCAATTACTCATTACACTTCTTGTTCCGTCACGTTGTGACCGTCTTATATATATAAGAC